ATCATCTAACTAAATACTTGATATATCTTTCATTAGATTAAAAAATGATTAGTTTTAGCTACTAGAAAAATATTACATTAGGGTGCACACAACACAGGTGTGTTAATGAATTTTACTTGCTGCTTTGATCCCCTTCTAACATCTGATGCTGTTAGCTTGATCAATACTTTGATTCCAAAAACATGAAACATGTTAGTTTGCGGAAGACATCTTGACTACTCATGCATTTATCTTTGGCTTCAACACCTAAAAAAATCACACTTTTGGTTTCCTGGAAAAATTGCGCAGTATAGTGAATGTGTGTGTTTATGTGTATGTTGTTGAGGAGTTGATTCTCCTGTTTTATACAATTATTTCTATTTTTCTTAACAGTCAACACTGATGTTTCAAATGCATGTATAGTATGTGATTGATTACACAGAAAAAAATGACTATACATGCAAAAGAAATCATTTGCACTAAAGATAAAATAAGACGAAATAACTGTAAGGCCTGTTTTAGAAGATATAATATCAATACAGTACATAGTACTGTTAAGTTTGTAAGTGTGTGAGTTGATGTTTGATCCCTTCCGGCTGATTAATGAGGTCTGATTTTTTTCTGTGTGTTTGTTGTAGTTAAACAGTATTCTGACATTGATATAAATTGCAAAAATTTTGGACTTACTTGTACTTGAAACATCCCTTCTAACTTACCCCCAGATCACAAAAATTGCCATGTCCAAGCTGTACAGTTGTTCATTCCCTCTTGAGTGACTGTGGTTATGGGAGACCAGAAAACATACTAGGCTCTTCTGAAATTTTCCCCTATATCATTATTATTCAGTATTCATTGCTAATCTTGTCTGCTGCCCATAGGGAATGATAAATGAGAACATTGGGAGAAATGAAATGAATTCTTCTGCTCATTAGTGGCCCCAATTCACCCAGGATGCACCTATAAATTGAGAAAGGCTTTAGTAAGATTTAAAGTATTTCTTTCTGGCGCATCATCTTAATCATCGAACTATCATATAACTCTAAGACTTTCCTGTTGACAGTCAAATTGAATTGATCTCCCTCTTTGGGATGCTGATTAAAGAAATCATTTTTGGGTTTAATCTGTTGAAAGATCAGATTTCTGAGGGCACAAAATTGGCTTTGGGAAACAATTTTTGCCTTTTAGAAGTTTGCTATAAAGGTGGCTTTCCGTCATAAAGTCTTTTTGTCCAAATTTTTGTCATGGCTGCAAAGCAGGAAGAAATTCAAGAAATGCAGTACGAGGTGGCCCAGCTGCGCCACGAGGCAGCGTTAGAAAGATGGCCGGTATCCAAGGCCCTCAAAGAGTAAGCCTATGTTAAAAATTTCTCTTATCTGTCAAAAGCTGAGGGAGTTGCATTAACACACCAGTCATCGACTCGAGTGAGTTTTGTGTTTGAAATACTTTGTAAGTATGTATTTTGTGTAGAATTTATTTGTGATCTTGTTATTTTTTTAGGCTTCTGACATACACAAATCAAAATGCACCCAGTGATGTGCTCTTGAATGGAATCTCACAGTCAGAAAATCCTTTCCGTGATCAGAAGAACTGCACTATACTGTAGGAAACAGTCAAAATGGTGGTATGTACATGAAAACTTTTTAGTTGTTTTCATACTGATCAAACAAACATATTCTTGTACAATGTTAGAGATATTTGGTCAAATTTTTCAAGAATATATATATGAAGGAGATTAGACGCACTAGGTATTAAATTACATTTCCATTGATTTGTAATTAGGGTACATCAAGCAGATAAGACAAAATGATCAGCAATTTTATCCTTCGTTATCAGAAAACGAGTTATATAAGTGATTTGTTAGCCATATAATGTCAGAATAGATATTTGAATATCTCTGAAGTCATAGAGGTCCATACTGACTGCTAATGTTGGATGGGGAATGATATATGAATATTTGAGGAAAAAAATGTTGATTGCTACCTTAACACCAGTGACCTGTTTTTAAATTTCCTGAACAATGGGAGCCAGGGAGGTTGTTTTGAAAGCAACAATACTTTAGGCTTTGAAAAAAGTTTTATTTAAAGGAAGAAAGCTTACTACAAAAATAACACTGTTACTAGAATATTTTGTTATTCATAGCAGATAATTACCTTGCAGAATAATTTCAACATACTTGGACTGAAATTCAGTCTTAATGAGGGTACTGCTCTGATGGACTGTATGTTTTGTTTCTGTTTTTTTTTTTTCCTCAAAGAAAGCTTTTAATTCATGCCATTTCATCTTTATACTAGTAGTTTTTACTTTGCTAATGGCACTTTTGGAGATAATCTGTTTTCAAAAATAAAATGATTTTAATATCAGTAAGATAATATTGTTTTTGTTTTCATTTCAGATATGTCTCTGGACCTCTTTGGATCATTGTCTCACTATGCTAGTGCAGTCATCTTTGTGTGAATCCGTCATCTATATACAGCAGCTTGTAAACTGGAAAGCATGAATAGTGAATTGTACATGTCTCTGAAACTCACCGGTGTTGTTGGTATAAGTGTAACAGTATACTTGTATGTATGTACAATCAAGAACTTAACCTTATAATCAATTCATTTCATTTTTTTTATGAAAACATAATCATAAAAAACTTCTGATGGAGTGAGACTATACTTGTTTAGAATGGGGACCAGCCCAGTTAGTGAATAGGGAGATAAAGCACACTGATGGATTATAGCCTCATTGGTTGGATTGTTCATATTACTTGGAACTGGAACTAGAACCTGGAATTCAACAGACTTAAATCTCTTTGAAAGTCAATATCATTTTAAAAACTTTGAGCAAATATAAAAACCATTTGATACCAAGCATTTAAAATGTTGAATGGTTAGTTAATGCAAAATTCCTTATTCGCTAATTAAGACGCACATGGATTATCATATTCACCAAGCTTTTGGCCAGTGCTGAAAAATAGTTAAAAATTTAGAGCAACTTTTTGTATATATGCAAAAGTATATTTACATCAATAGTCACCAACATTTGGGATTTTTTTTTAATCATGATAAACTGTTTAACATTTTATTCTAAAAATTTCAGTTTCCCTAAACTTTACATCAGTACATTATAGTATATGTGTAAGTCAAAGAATAATGTGAGGCAATTGTCAGCTTCCCACATAAACTCGTTAATTAGAATAATTCTTGACCTAAAATGCCAATTTCTCATATCAGAACTATGTCTAGAAGCTTATCTTTTCCAGAAAGACATCCTATGTTACATACTTATGTTTTCACAACTGCCTCTAATATTAGACACTTCCTGCTAACAACCATGCAGCATATAAATCTCAATGTATGCATTTTGTTTGAGTGTATATATATATATAATAGGATAGGTACATATATTTAAAGGCAAAGAGTGAACTGCCAAAAGAAAATGATGTCCTTTCAATTGAGAAGAGCAGTAAATATGACAAGGTACCTTTGTTATAGACATTTACCTTGAGAGAAATGCAAAATAATATAACACCTTTTCAGCTAGTTTCATGGTGCACAAAGTGATATTAGATTAATTTTTCTTTCTTTTATATGCTGAGCTGTAATCTTTAACTAAAGAGTGGTTGAGGGTGGATTTTTACCTTTTGAAATATCTTGTTTCTGCTAGATTTTGTCATGTTCAATAATGTATTTTGTATTGTGATATGTGTAAATTAAGTTTGATTTTAATTGAAAATAAATATGGGATTCCTAGATATATTCTATAATTTCAGGATTTCTAAGTATAGAAAAGACTTAAGGAAACATGGACCGTTTAAGACCTTCCCTAAAGCAAAAGCAACCAATTCCAAAATTATGTTTATTCTTTTTGACGCCCAAGTTTATACATGAATATGATATCTGAAACTCATTTGGTGAATTTCACTTCTATGATTTCAGTATGTGGTAACTTGCATTGCTTTTGGGGCAGGTCTTAATCAAGTTAAAGCAATTTGTCCGTAAAACCTAAATACAAATAGTGTGAAATAGTTAAAAATGATATTGTCAAATCCACCCATTGTGTTAATTTCATGGGTGTTTGCAAAATTGATTATTTCGTATAAAACTAGGTTCTGATAAGAAAAAGTTTGATGAAAATTTAGTTCTTATCATATTTCATGCCATAAACTAAAACCTGGAATGTCGAATTGGCCTTTTTAGTCTAAGTTTGAAATTTTAGAAAGTTACATTTTAGTATGATACCATTCATTTTTTTTTCTGTGAGAAGTCTCACAAGTGTATTTTATGATGAAAGGTTGGGAATTGAATGAATGAAAATCTAAATGTCATTAGAACAGTGTATTTAAATACTTATGTATGAGCCATTTTCCTTTGGCTTATTCCCAGTATTTCCTTTTTTTTTTCAGATTCTTGAATGTATAATTGATCCTTATGGATCAGTTTCCCCCCAATCATTATCAATATTACATGTAGTAAAATATGTAGTCTTGTTTGTCATACTTTTTTTCTGAATAAATGTTTTATGCATCTTATTATACGACTTCATATGAAATATCTCAACGCAGATAATAAGCATGTTAACAATTTCGAAGAGAAAAGTCAACAAGTTTTATTTTAAGCATAGATAAAAACCACTGGAGAAGAAATGTTCTGTTCAATTTTGTTGTATTGATTTGTGTGCTTGTAAAAACTTTGTTGCAAAAGCTTTAAAAGAAACATTAACATGCAAATGTGGAAAAGCGTATTAAAGTTTAAGGTTTAACACGGTACATTTCCAAAGGGTATTTTTTACACCTGCTGACCCAGGTTTGCTGACCCCTTCTTTAGAAGGTGTGTTATATTTAGATAACGCGAGATTCGACGGGATTTATGGGCCATAATATTCATGCGCAAAATTCCGGTCCAAATATTATGAAATTTGGTTGCATAAGTTCTATCCTACTATTTCTAAATGATAATTTCATGTTAAAGTTGTCATCAAATTTCATTTTGTTCTTAAATCTAGACTTAAAAGCGAAAGCCAATAGTGATAATCGTTAAAATAGTTCCTTATTTAGGGGAGTGAAGTGTCCCAACCGCCATTGCTTTTCGGTGTGGTGCAGGAAGCGATGAATTTGAGTTTAATCAGAGTGGGTTTACCGTCAAAAACTGTCCCTGACATTCCATTTTAAAAAGATAAAACCATATCTCATACATCAGCCATATTGAATAGAAATATACTGTAGGAGAAAGAGAATTTGACGAGAAAAGGTAAGTGCAGGAAGTTGAAAAGCGCCGGCTCAGTGACATGGCATCAATTTTAAAACGTTTCTGTTTGGTTAGTCATCTCCAAGGGAGTGTATATTTCTCTTATAACTCCCAGAGGGGACGTATAATTATTACATATTATGGTTGTTCTTCGTGTTACGTCTTTTCGAGGCTGACACATCGTCAACTGTGTTGACATATTTAGACGAATGTCAACGTGCAAATGACAGTGACAAAATTGCAACGACCAAGTGTGCTAAGGGTCGTTGAGGCCAAATATTTTGATAATGAATGCTGTATGATTTTTTATTTTGTTTGCCATTCTTAGAGGCACCGTTATTACTTGAAGTCAAATACCCCCACTTAAGTTATTCAATAATATTAATATGGTTGCACTTAACAAATGTTATATTATAACTATACTGTTGCTAGTATGTGACATGTAAATGTGGCATACTTTGTTTTTTTTAAAAAAAAGAGTCAGTTAATCTTCAGTTTTATTAATTTATTCTGGATGTCTCAGTTTCATTTCATGCAAAATGAACTTTCTGACAAGACACACCTGGACTAGATCTGTTTATCCATACCCTCTTGCACTGATTTGTAGGTGATTGGGCGGGTCTCTCAGATTGATGATCTCATATCATCAGAGTAACTACCCAAGTGGTAGTTTAATTAACTTGGACATTGTTTTTGTAACACCCTTTTTACATCAAACAACAAACTTTCATTACTTTTTTTTTCTTTACTCAATGCCACACTAACTGTTTTCAAACAGATTATAATAAGCAAGTCAAACAATGACTTGGAAGTTGATTATACAAGCATTTAGTTGTTTCCTGGTTACTTGTATTATGATTCTGTAAGATAGTGTTTCTTCAAGATTTAAATTTTAGCCATGTTCACCATGGTTATTCTAGCTTTAAATTGACAGGAGGCTTTAAAATATATCACTTTGGTACATGTCAACTGTGAAACACATCAATTTACAAATAATACTTTATTATGTTCAATGAACCAAAACATGAAAAAATCTTTGTCTTAATTGTAACTCTGCATAATAACATCAGGCCATTCTTAGTGGGTGTGTCACACAAAAAGAATTTCAAATTGTGCATTCTTATTCTCCTTATTATCAGACTTTTTAAAAAAGGTTATTTGACTCACATTAATTATTTCAGAATATCTTGGATAAAGTCAGCCTGTTATTCAGATGTGCACACAGTATGTGTTGTAATGCAACAGGTGTTATGACAGGATGCTTTATATATACTTTCTGTTATGTGTCACTTATAATTATAAAATAAAATGTTGGTGCACCACTGTTTGTTTCTCATGATGTCTTTCAAAGGACATGTAAACAGAATTGTACAGTTTGATATGATTAATACCAGTAGCCTACAGCATGTTTGCTCTGTCACGTTTGTGCAGATGTAGTATTTTCTGTTATCATATATATGTATTATGACCTCTGCATTTATTCTAGACTTTCAATAAAACGTAACACTGAAACATTCTCCAAGTGATGAAAATCCATACAAAAGTGCAGTATTATTTTTACGATTCCCATTTCACATTTTCATCCTATATAAAATGAAAACCAGCCTCTACTGGTATAAAAGAAATGATGTCATGCAATAGCTTTCCGGCTTTCCAAACTTGGATTTCAATTCAGAATTGAATTTGAAAAGTATTTTGGTTGTAATTTACAGTATAAAGCAATGTTACTTGTAGTTTCTGATTTGTTGACATGTTTTGCCAAAAGGTTGTCATTTTCCAAGTTGTTACTAGTATGAACTAAGATATCAATGGCCTGGCATAGGTTCACAAACCACTAAGGAGGTCCAGTTGCTCTGAGTGGATTTCTTGGAACATATTGATTACTTTTTAACTCCATCTATTGATAAGCAGGCTACTTATTCCCCATGGATTATATAACCCAAATGCATTGCTGAGCTTTATGGGTAACTATATGAGAAAATCTTTAGCACTATATTGGTAATACAAATTCAGTGGACTTAAGCTCTGCATAGGAGGTAAATAGAAGGAGGGGGAATTGTTTTTATGGTTAAACTTTTAAATAAAAGGCCAAAGTGGGATTAATATTTAAATTGTATAAAGATACCTGATTAGTATTAACTCATCATGGATTGTTCTGTAACCAAAGTCAACAAGATCACTGGGCCATAGGGCCATATGTTATCTTTAAGTTTTGTGTCTTCATACGCTGGAGACAATTTCCTTTAGAGATACAGAAAAATGAGTAGATAAGAAAGTTCTGATAAGTAAAGTATGACAGTTTTAACTTATCTTAGCAAAAAAGAGTTCTAAAAGTGTCAGAAAGTGACTCCACATCTAGGTATAATTCAATTTTGATACCAATCTCTGATTTTGTGTAAAAATTAGAGATTGTGTATGTCTAGGCCAGTTTTAAAAATGACCTGCATCTGTTTTCCCTGGAAAGTAAATGAAAAGTTCTCATATCCACAAGAACGTGAAACCAATGTTTCAGCCTTCCTGTTTAGAGATTTGTCTTGGTATCAAGCCAGTGTTCTTGCAAGTTTCTCAAGCGTTTAGTAACGTGATAATGCTCAACATATTTTAATACTAACATGGCATTTCCATGTTTAGCATGTGCATATAAGTGTTCTGTCAGCTTTTTTGCTCATATTTGCTCCTTAATAAACTGGGAGTCATTTCTAAGTGGCAGTTAGTCATTATGTTGCAATGTGTTTTTTTTTTTTTTTTTTTTTTTAATGCATCCCAAAGTTACATTAACGGAAACCCAGTGTGTAATCTGATGTTAAGTCTGTTGTATGGTTCACAACCTAATTTGTATTTATAGAGTGCAGTGACTATTTGCACCTTAGGGAATAAAAGCAAAATGTGCATAATTCTGTTACAGTATGTTGTGCAGCAATATTTTTTCAAGGCTAACATCGGCCCATGTAA